ATACATTTAAAGTACTAAGTTCAATTATTGCAGAAAATATTAACTACAATTGCATTCTCTCTCTACAGCTGCAATTATCTGCCTTATTTTATTGTTTCTTCAAATTTTTAAAATACAATTATAGGCACTCTGTGCACTTATTTCGTAAATTAAAAATCACAACAAAATAGAAACAAATGAGGCTATGCACAAATATATCCACTTTAGTCCTCACATCCCTCAAAACAATATACTTAAAGAGAGAAAAAAAGGTTATGCGGCTGCTTGCACCTCTGTCCCCTTTCTGGTCTCCTCAGCTGTTTGGCCTCAAACCTTTACTTGACTCAGGGTGGAACTTTGCAATTCTCCCACTCTTAGACCTGGACCTGGACACAATTACCCTTCAAAAACCAGTGATATGCAGTGACCAACAACCTTCTTAAAAACAAAAGTATTTTTTATTTAGCAGTAGGAACAAAGCTTTAGAGAAAAATGATTTTAAAAAGAACAGTCTACACGCATGTCTATCTTAACTAAATTCCCACCATTTCACGATGGCGACCTATGTAAGCCTTCTCTAGACACCCCAGCAGGTTCCTGTGTCTGAGGCTAGTTTAAGTCTGGTTACTTGCTTAGGTCTCCTTTTTAAAACAGTCCTTTTTAAAACCTTCTAGAGTTCTTTGTTCTCCTGTGCCTGGAAAGTCTGAGCCATTCCTGTTAAAACCAGTTTCACAGGCTGGCCATAGGCCAGAGACAGAATAGTTTTAAGTCCAATAGTTTTGGCATTGTCCCTTACCAACTCTTAAGTGTTTGCTGATAAATGGCTATACTGAGCGATTCTTCTCCTTTTGACCTATATTGCAAACTACCCAATTGAGTTAAACCAATTTTGTCATACAGCAAACACTAACCCAACAACCAGGCCAATACAGAACGTAACTTATTACGGGGCACCCCCAGAAATTTCACAATGAGCTTTACAGTATGCCCAAAGTTTAACAAGTTTGGGCTCTGGCAAACCAGGGAGGAGGGTGAAGCAACTTAAAAAAAATTCAAATTACCACAGAAATTTTTTTCCCAGTAGCTCTCTCTCATTTATGTTGAGAGAACTCCAGATCCACTGCTTCTGCTAATCTCAACTGTGGCAGTATACCATGGCATGAATCACTCAGCTAATCAGGTACCCATACATTTAAGGCTTTATAGTTATAATCAACACTTTGAATTCCACCCAGAAGCTTACTGGAATCAGTGCAGATCACACAGCACTGGTCTAAAATGCTCCCGAAGTGTAACTCCACTTAATAAGCAGACTGCAGCATTCACACTACCTTCAGCCAGGGGCGGCTCTACCTTTACTGCCGCCCCAAGCACGGCAGGCAGGCTGCCTTTGGCGGCATGCCTGGAGGAGGTCCACAGTCCCGCGGATTCGGTGGCATGCCTGTGGGAGGTCCGCCGGTCCCGCGGCTTCGGGGTACCCGCCGCCAAATTGCCGCCGAATCCATGAGACCGGCGGACCTCCCGCAGGCATGCCGCCGAAGGCTGCCTGACTGCCGCCCTCGCAGGGACCGGCAGGGCGCCCCTCGTGGCTTGCTGCCCCAGGCACGCGCTTGGAGCGCTGGTGCCTGGAGCCGCCGCTGCCTTCAGCTTCCAAACAGTCCTAATGTGTACCCTGTGCACAGTGCACTGCAGCAGTCTAATCTTGAGAGTTAACAAAAGCATGGATAATTGTGTCACCAAGGTCCTCTCTCTCACAAAACATACATAAAATTGCACTCTTTTGATCAGGCACAGATGGAAAATCTCCACTAAGGGACCCAGGCGCATCCCAGGATCTAACAATACCATCATATTGTGCACCTGTTTTACAAACTGCAGTGACGCTCCCTCTGTGAGGGGCACGGGTATGAGGGTGCCCACCAACATAAACTCAATTTTCTCTGGATTGCTTTGCAGCCACCTAGCTCTCATCCATGCCCTAAGTTCATCAAGGCATTAGGCAAGTTGTTCCATTTCTCCAGCTAGGTCAGATGCAATGGAGATGTAGAGCTGTGTGTCATCAACCTACTGACTGAATTGCAGCCTATGTCTCTTCACTAACCCTCCTAGTGATCATATACTCCTTAATCAAAGAAGTGACAATATCAATCCCTGCAGCACCCTACATGAGTGCTTGGGACAGAGCTGAAGCTGCCCATAAACATCTTTTGAATTTGTTTTGAAAGAACAGAATCAAATAGCAGCAGCTCCACCCATCCAAACTTGTTCGCAAACAAGCCAACAAAAATCTCATGGTCAACTGAATGACAGATCTAAAAAAAAAAAAAAAAAAATCAACAGGCATACTTTTAGACCAATCTAGTATAAGATGAAAACATCAACAACAACAAAAACAAAAAAAACCATCTGCAGGGCGGCCAGAGCGGCAGAGCAAAAAAAACCTGTGCAGGGCGGCCAGAGTGCGGGTGCTGGGGGGCTCCCGGCACTGCAGACGTGCCCTGGGCAGCAGGGGGGAGATGGAGGGAGCCGGGGGAGAGAGACAGAAGGGGGGCGGCCAGGGCTTCCTTCAGCGGGGCGCTCGCCACTCGGGCCCTCCCGCCGCGCCGCCTTCTGGGAGGGCTCCGCGCTGCTCCGGTCAGTGGGCAGGGAAGGACGCGGGCTGCCCTGCCGGGCTTGCTACAGACCTGGCACCAGCTGGGGCAGATGGAGCGCGCAGCCCGCTCCCAGTAGGGCGCTCCCCTCCTCCGCACCGCCGCCCCCTACTGGGCGGCCAGAGCGGCGAACCAAAAAGAAAAAAGAAAAAAAACCCTGCTGGGTGGCCGAAGCGGCGAAGCAAAAAAAAATAATAAAAGGATTCGAGGGAATGCCACCCCAAGCACGAGCTTGCTCGGCTGGTGCCTGGAGCCGGTCCTGCTGGGAATCTTCTAGCTTGGAAGATTTGAGGGACAGAATACAACCCTGTTAAGCATTCTCCATCTTAATAACTGAGAGAGATTTCTTTTAAGTTGATCTACTGTAGCACTTAAATAGGTTTTCATCTCAGAGCTAAGTGAAAAAAAGAAATCCTTTTTCAAAATAGAAAAGTTGTCATTTTTATGTATTAAATATGAAAGTACGCTGCCAAATTCAGTTATTTGAAATTGACTTTTTTGGAAAAGTACTATGTTAGCCTATTGGAGTGGTCCCCAAACTTTTCAGGGTCATTCCCCTCCTTGTCCATGTCCATACCCATGCCTCCTGAAGCAACATTCAGGCTATGCGGACAGGGGTAAGGGGGCTGAGGCTGGGACCACAGCTGGGGGTAGGGTTGGGAGCAGAGCTGCGGCTGGGTTGCGGTACAGGCTGGCAGCTGGGTCTGCGGCTGGGTGTGGAGCTGTGGCTGAGGGCCAAGGCTGAGGATGGGAGCAGGGGCCATGGCTGGGGGCAGGGCCGGAGCAAAGCTGGGGCCAAAGCAGGGCTGGGTGGCGCTCCCTCCCTGCCCCCTGTGGGGGCTGGCCTGGGCCCCGATGTGCCTGCCTGAATGTTCCTCTGTGTCCCCCTAGGGGTTACGCCCCACAGTTTGGGGACCAACCAGTCTACTGTCTCTTACGTATTTTAGCCACTGTTTTTTTATTTTGCTTTACTAATTTATTTTTTCCCTCATTTTGTTCTCCTTTAGTGGTGTTTATGTAGCTTGCTTGTGCCAGCAGGAAAATGTGAAGGTCCAACAGATCTAAACATGTACACACCTTCTCCCCTCTTTCGTAATAGCTACTCCTCTCTTTTGGTCACTCCTTTCCCTGCCAGTTCTGATGCTATAAGCTTTTTGGAGGGATCTAGGAAAGAGGAGACCCTTTCTTCTGACAGGCTTCTGCTCTTCTGTGGGCCTCTTGGAGAGGATCCTGGAAAATGAAGATTCCTTGACTGCAGTCTTCTCTGCATCATCCCCAGTCCATGGAAGGCCCAGGGAAGGAGCCACATCCTGAAGTCCAAGTGTCTCATCCATCACTGTCGCAAGGACCAACCCACTTTCTTCCTTCATTTTCTCACCAAGTGCCTCAAAAGGCTCTGATAGTAAGGGGTGGGGGGAAGAGTGTCTCTCCCCCACTTATCATGCTTTGTCTTCCTGTCTTGGCTCTATGCACTTCTCCTCCACTTGCTTTCCTAGTTTCCTCAGGGATCCTTAGGAGTGAGGAGATACCCTCACAACCTCACTTCTGCTCCTTCTCCTTATGCAGGGGCCTGAAAATGGAACGTATACCAGGCTGCTCTTCCACTCCATTCCCAGGCTTCTGCTAGACTTTTCCATTAACAATATTAAAATTTCAGAAATTCATAAATTTAAAGTATTTCTAATTATGTATTTCAAACTCTGAAATAGCAACTGCTGCACTTTTACCCCACTATTGGAGTAGCTTCAGAAGACCACGTACAATTGATTACTAAAGCAGTACATAAGAATGCTTAAGTTATAACATTAATGCATGAGACCAGCAAATGAAATTCTCCATGGCTCCAACTCAGAAAAACACGTAAGCATGTACTTAACTTTAAGTATTTGACTAAGTGCTTTCCTGAATCCAGGTTCATAAGCAAAGTGAAGTCAACTGCAGATTAGTAAAAAATAACAACTTTCACATAAAAAGGTTATCTTTGATTAGCAATTATTATATGTAATTGGATCTATGTCAAAAAATACCTAAACATTTCCCATCAATACATACACTTCTGAAGTTTTTAAGAAATGCAATTTAGGAAGACAATCATACCAGAAGTAAAAGCACTGAGTAGTGAAAACAGTTCTTACCTTTTTTAACAGTTTCTCATTTCTCAGTCTTTCACACACTATTGCTACTTCTGGGCTTGCTGGTTCAAGTACTGAATTTGCAGTCATCTTTCCTAGATTCCTCAACATTGCTGTAATGGGCATCTCCTGCAACAATGCCTTCCACACCTGTTACAGTAGTATACAGAAGAGAGGTGGAGGGGGGGAGACAACATTTTAATTTGATGAGAGACTCTGTCTGGTGTATACACAAAACATCAAGCAAAATATGTAATGTATTTTAAAATGTCAGAATTATACAGAGGGCTTCATCATGTTAAATTAACTTATTTTTTTTTAAAAAGCTTTAAGAGTTCCATTTGGATAAAAATATATTTTCAGCAATCCAAAATTGTCAAGATAAACAAGACAACAAAATTTAAAAGGGCACTAGTTATTTGATACAAGATGTTAATATTTACATACACATACCCACCTCTTTAGATTTCAAATGGTTTGTCTGGAGATGCTCCCTAACTAACCTATACTCTTCTATCAAATGAATAACTTCCAATTCATCTTTCGTACGTTTCACTTTCTCCACAGCCTCCAGATATTTTAACAATTTTTCAGTCTCAGAAGAAAATTCCTTGTCTTTATATGCCTCTTGGACTTCCTTCCACCCCTTGGTGATATACTTAGTAACTACAGCAAGTCCTATTGAAAGACAAAAATATTTTCCATTCAGGATTATGACCCAGATATCAGAGAGTTTAGTAAGTCTGGCAAGAGAGTTGGTTAGAAGGATGCTTTTAACTATGGTTTCATACCCAAAACTGCTAGCCAGCTATCAATAGAGTGGGTCTAAGTTAGAACACTACAGTCAAATACATTAGGATGCACAATTCAGAATACTTTCCAAGATTTATTTTATTTACTGTATCATCTCCCTTTGGAAGGATGAAACTTAATACAAGTCGTCTTCTTTACAATGTTTTGTCCCCTACCTTACGCCACAGCAAGCACAGTGTTGTGAAAAATAAGGGGATAAAACTAGTCAGAACATACAATGAAAAGATGACTGTCAATCTGCTATGTATAAATATTTCAGTTACCCCAACACACTACAAAGCATTAAAGCATTTTGAAGTAATCTGCATTTTTTAACATATAAAAATAAATTATATCTGAGGAGAAACATAAAACTGTGACCTAAGGTCAAAAATAATGAGGAAACAACAGATCTGGTTGAATAATGAAAAAATAAATGTATACGCCAAATGATGGGGGAAAAAAAATCAACTAAATGATTTGTAAGAATTATTCAGCCATCTCTTGACAGCAGTCACAAAAAATAATGAAAGACCACATTTATTCTTAAAGAGTCAAGATAAACAGACCATATTTTCTAGCTATCAGCTTCTGTATTATTTCTAAAGTTTAACCTGAAGGATACACGGATGCTGAGAGACCACTATTCCATCAAGACCTTTAGACTTCTAGGACAGACATAGGCTAGAAATGAAAGGCTTAATGTAGTATCTGATATAGCATATTTTCTTAACTAATCCAGTCGTAAGGTCAATAAAACATTACTGTTACCTTCACTGGCAGGTTTTAGGTGGGACAACCTGAGTAGATCTTTATGAGACCAACCATTTCTTTGTTTATATTTTGTAACTGCTAAAGCAACCGCCAGGCCATTCTTTCCATTGTACCAGTCTGCAACAGCTTTTCTCAGGGCACGGCCCCACATGCCACACTTCATGCCTTCCTTCAGATCCTTTTTAAACTGGATGAAAGTAAACAGATGAGTTGGTATGCGGCAGACTTCAGAAACAGCCTTAAATGCTGCTTGTTTTGTTTTTGCATCAGAGCACTGTGAACAAATTGCAAGAGCAAAAAGCATGGGCTCCTGTTTTGCTGCCCTGCCTTCCTGGCTGAATGTCTTTATTTCCTGTACCACATCACAACCTTTACCATCTTCAATCAGTCTTATTAAAACTTCAGCATTTTCAAAGCCCAGTTTCTGCTCCTTGATGTAGTATGTACCACCTTCTGAACCAAAACATAAGAAACGGTGGAGTCGATTTATATCGGTGACCTGCCATACATATCCACCTTCAGAGTTCGGCACCTGCTTGTCATTCAAGGGCTGCATTTGATTTGCGTCTTCATCCATTGCTTAGAGTTTCAGGAAGCCTGTTAAAAAAGAGAGTACAACTTTACTACAAATAAACGTTGAACTATGTTGGATTTTTTGGCTCGTAACATTTCCTCCTCTTACATCTGTAGCCAAATGAGTACATCATATCTGTAATGCCTGCTCCCCTTGCCTCTTCTAGATTTATATTAAACATACTCCAGAACAGCAATAACATAGTCCAGTAAATGCGTAAGTTACTAAATAGCATCTTCAAAGAATATATTTAAAAATTGGGTTTATGCCCTTTTTGGCTTTGTTATAATATATAAATAAGTTGTGAAAAGGGTTTGCTTTAAGCAGGGATATCAAGTTTGGTTTTAATTTCCCCTGAATTTTCTTGTGGTCTCAAAGCATTTTTATTGTTAGCTCTAACAGCTTAATTGAAGGGGTAGAGGTACTCAATATTTAAATACATCCTTTATCCAAAATGTTAGTCACTGAAGTTAAGTAAGTGTTGATAAAAAAAAAAAAAAAAAGTCATCAGCAGTCGAACTAAAAATCCTTTTCTGAGTGATATCTAGTTCTCCAGGCAGGTAAGTCTTCCAGGGCAGTTAGGTCCTGAATTTCTGTGGGACAGATTGTACCTAAGACTAGCAAAATGATACTAAACTTTATGAAGGGGAATTTTTTAAATTCAAGCTAATTAAGAAGAGCCTTAATCCCAAAGATGAAAACGTAAATTCCTTAGAACCAGCATACAGGCTAGTTAAAGGTGACCTGCCAAGGGAAGGACAGTGTTTGTGCTCTGTCTGATGTTATAAAAATTATTATAAAGATTTTTTTTTTTTAAATTAAAATTTATCAGATCTTGTCCCTCCCATTTTTTGCTGGAGGGCTGGATGACAACACTGCATTTGATAAAGGTAAGAGACCTGAGCAACTCAGAATGCAAGAGAATCCTAGACTTAAAAACAAAAACAAAAAAAACTTTGTATTTTGTTTGTTTTGGTTATCATCTATTTAAATGAAACACCTGACAAATAATGAAGAAAAATGCCATCGTTAATAAAGATTCAAACACACTTGTCCTTTCAAATGAGAACTGAGAAAGCTCACAAGCAAAGAGAGAAAGAGAAACAAAATACATCCCAAGCCTTTCAGGTCTTGTTTACACACTGCTAGACAGAGAACTAACATAATATCATCTGTAGGCATACCATATTTTATTCCTATCCAAAATAAGACACAAGGCCACAAAATTTATATGGTTAAAAGGTAAAAAGTTATTTTTTGAGAAGTAAAAATCCAGTTGTAGTGTAACCAAAAGAAAGAATCATACATCATAACAAATGAAACATAAGCTGGAAATTAGAAGGCCTAAGAGGAAATTTGAAGATATAGACCTTGCATGTTTTTATGTTTTGGGCTACTAAGTATCAGAAAGAACAATCCTTTGAGTGTCAGATGATCTTCTAGATTACTAGGGAGTAAAAGGAGCAACAGAAAAGAATAAGTACATTAGCTTCTTTGCAAAGTACTTTGCTGCATCAATTTTAAGTACAGAAGATCACAGACCTATTCTTTTAGGAGTAAAAAAGATGAGGCACTGTCACATCCTGATCATGACTAGCTCACACATTTTTACAGGTGTTAAACTGTATTACTGTTTAAAAGCATTTTAATTAAAAACATAATCAACATTTTTATTTATTAATTCTATTCCTACTTTGGATACAGACATCTCACAGATTGAAGAGAGTCAGTATTCTACCCCCTACATGTGATGAGATATACACACCCTATCCAGGAATTACAAGGGAAAGAATTAAACATTAGTTGTCTCATTGTATCCCTACTCGGCTAGATTTTTTTTTTTTTTTGAAGCAGTGAGGTGCCAGCAACTGGATTCAGAATGCTAATTTTATTCATCTTTTATTTTCAAATAAAATTTCCAAGAAGTATTTCTCACTGTGAGTTTTCAAAGGGTATGTCTACACTATGAGAGTAGTTCGATTTCACGTAAATCGAATATGTGGAATCGATATTGCAAAGTCGAACGTGTGTGTCCACACTAAGAACAGTAATTCGACTTTGTGAGTCCACACTAACGGGGAAAGTGTCGACATTGGAAGCGGTGCACTGTGGGCAGCTATCCCACAGTTCCTGCTGCCCGTTGGAATTCTGGGTCGAGCCGCCAATGCCTTCTGGGTAAAAAAATGTGTCGAGGGTGCTTTTGGATAACTGTCGTCATCCGTCCGTCACTACCGCCCTCCCTCCCTCCCTGAAAGCGCCGGCGGGAAATCAGTTCGCGCACTTTTCTGGTCAGTGACAGCGCAGACGCCACAGCACTGCGAGCATGGATCCCGCTGCAACCATCGCTGCAGTTGTGTCCGTTGTCAACGCCTCGCAGCTTATCATCCACCTTTCCCAGAGGCAGATGCAGATAAATCAGGCGAGGAGGCTACGGCACCGCGGTGAGGGCCTGAAGTCTGAGAGTAGCACAGGCCTGTCAGAAAGCACAGGACCCAGCGCCGAGGACATCACGGTGACAATGGGTCATGTGGATGTTGTGGAACGGCGATTCTGGGCCCGGGAAACAAGCACGGACTGGTGGGACTGCATAGTGCTGCAGGTCTGGGATGAATCCCAGTGGCTGCGAAACTTTCGCATGCGGAATGGGACTTTCCTGGAACTTTGTGAGTTCCTGTCCCCTGCCCTGAAGCGCAATGACACCCGGATGCGAGCAGCCCTGACTGTCCAGAAGCGAGTGGCCATAGGCCTCTGGAAGCTTGCAACGCCGGACAGCTACCGGTCAGTCGCGAACCACTTTGGCGTGGGCAAATCTACCGTGGGGGTTGTTGTCATGCAAGTAGCCAACGCAATCGTTGAGCTACTGCTCTCAAAGGTAGTGACCCTGGGAAACGCGCAGGTCATCATAGATGGCTTCGCCGCGATGGGATTCCCAAACTGCGGAGGGGCTATAGATGGAACTCACATCCCTATCCTGGGACCGGACCACCAGGCCAGCCAGTACATTAACAGAAAGGGCTACTTTTCAATGTTGCTGCAAGCACTGGTGGACCATCGGGGACGTTTTACAAACATCAACGTCGGATGGCCGGGCAAGGTTCATGACGCTCACGTTTTCAGGAACTCTGGTCTGTTTAGACAGCTGCAGGAAGGTATTTACTTCCCGGACCACAAAATAACTCTTGGGGATGTGGAGATGCCTACAGTGATCCTCGGGGACCCAGCCTACCCGCTAATGCCCTGGCTCATGAAGCCCTATACTGGCGCCCTGGACACTGAAAAAGAACTCTTCAACTACCGGCTGAGCAAGTGCAGAATGGTGGTGGAGTATGCTTTTGGCCGTCTCAAGGGGAGATGGAGAAGCTTACTGACTCGCTGTGATCTCAGCGAAACCAATATCCCCATTGTTATAGCAGCTTGCTGTGTGCTCCACAATCTCTGTGAGAGCAAGGGGGAGACTTTTATGGCGGGGTGGGAGGTTGAGGCAAATAGCCTGGCTTCTGATTATGCCCAGCCAGACAGCCGGGTGATTAGAAGAGCCCAGTGGGACGTGCTGTGCATCCGGGAGGCTCTGAAAGCTAGGTTCCAGAGTGAGCAGGGTAACCTGTGACTTTTAAGTTTGTGTACAGAGAAGCTGAACCTGCCCCCCTTTCTTTACCCACTAAATGTTCAGTATCCTCTCCAGTTACATACCCCGTTCCCCCCCTTCCAACACACCTTTAAAAATAAAATGACTTCTATTTTGTTAATGGACACCGTTTTCTTTATTACTGTTTTCGCGGGAATGTTTTAAACCTGGGACGCAGACTGTGGTGGGGAGCGGGTGTACTGTACTGATGCAAATGACGCTTCTAAACTCCAGGAATGACAGGCTCCGCAGTGGTGGACTGGTTGTTTCAACGGAGCCTGCCAGCCCTCCTGATCGGGACTGCGTGTATGTGGGGGCTATGTGACTTTGTGGCAGGGGGAGGAGGGTTACAGATCCCCTGCTGCGTGGCTCTGTGATCCAGGATAAGGACCGCTGCATAAGATCTGTAACTGCCCTCCCCCGCCACAAAGTGACAGAGCAACCCCCCCCCCCCCCCCCAGATCAATAAGTACCTCTCCCAGACTGACCAGGGTAACTAGTCACTGCACTGTGTATGTGCCCTGCTGCTGGACCTGCCCCCGCCGGTGTACCCTGGTAAAGGTGACTGTCCTGTCCAATTACCAACCCCCTTCCCCCCCTTCAGACAGACTCTCCTCCAAAAGAACATGATGGAAACAGTAATTAACAGAAACGTACATTTTATTAGCAGCTACACATGAAACTGGGGGGGGGGGTGAAACTTGGACGGGGGCTTGCGTGAGGCGGGAAGGAAAGGACTTGTCAAATTTTGGGGAATGAGAGCCTTCTAGTAGTAGAGCAGTCTGCAGGGGTGGAGTGAGAGTTTTCACGGACTCTGCCGCCCCTCCTTCTTTGGACTTTGGGTGAGGGGGGTATGGGACTTGGTGGCGGGGGAGGGCGGTTACTGATAGACTGCAGCGGGGCTCTGTCCTCCTGCCTCCGTTCCTGCAGAACATCCAAAAGGCGCCGGAGCGTGTCCATTTGCTCCCTCATTAGTCCAAGCAGCGTTTGAGTCGCCTGCTGGTCTTCCTGCCGCCACCTCTCCTCACATTCCATGTGTGTCCGGTGCATTTGGGACAAGTTCTCCCTCCACTGGGTCTGCTGTGCTGCCTGGGCTCAGGAGCAGCCCATTAGTTCCGAGAACATGTCCTCCCGCGTCCTCTTCTTCCTCCGCCTAATCTGCGCTAGCCTCTGGGAGTGTGATGCCAGGCTGTGTTGGGAGACAGTCGCAGATGTGGCTGTGGGAATGGGAAAAAGGGAGTGAATTCCTCAGAAAGATAAATTTCGTTGTGAACAAAGAACATAGTCTTTCTCTGTGAACAAGACCATGCACTGTACTTATCACATGCGCACTCAGGACAAGGTCGAATTTTCGGCCCTCGCATTCAGTGCCTGGGGTCTTGCACTGCCGATTTGAGA